TGTGTGTGTGTGTGTGTGTGTGTGTGTGTGTGTGTGTGTGTGTGTGTTTGACTGTCTGTCTGTCTGTCTGTCGTTTTAGTGTATGTCTGAAAGTAACACAGGACACATGGTATACATGTAGACAAATCACTGTGCATTCAGGTGTACAGCATCATTACAGCTCCTTTCATGCCAATATTTTTCATTAACATGTTTTTAAAGAGTTTATAGTTTCGAATCACTGTTTATTTAACAGTTCGGGTCAATTTCTTTACGGTAAGACATGCTGGTGAAAAAACTGTACTGTGCCCTTACTCTCTCTACTCTCTGCTTTCTCCACTATCCCCTTTCCCATACTGTACACATATGGCATCAATCCCAAAAACATCATAAGGACAATAAGAAATATATCTCTAAAGAGATCATGGCTAAAAGTTGGAGAGATCTTCTAAAGGTCTTAGTATTATTGAAACATGTTACCTTCACCTTTAAATCTAACAAGCAGTGTCCTCTACTGGATCTCCCCTGGTGGTGCAGTTACTGTATAATTCCTTATTTATAATGCACATTACTGCAGACCATGCATACATTATAAGTTGAATATGACCTGCATTATTTCAAACATCTTAGAATCCCAGCAGAAAAACAAAAACAGCCTTTATTGCTAATGAAGTCAATAGAACGCAAACCACAGCCTCTCTTTAAATCACTCCTGCTACATTACTGCCATCTCTTCATAATAGATTCACGCACGATGTTTCCATCTTTGAGTGTTTTTGAGTTAAAAAAAAGAATCCGGACATAACAAGACAAAACAACCAAACGTTAAAGAAAATCACACCATTTGAAAGAACCAAGCTTTAGCTGAGCATGTTGGAGATGTTTGCAAGAATCACTTATGTTTAATAATGTAATGACACTAGGCAGGGGGGGTCATTGCTTTCTGTCCTCTGTCTACTTCAACGCTAGTCACCAGTCAGATATTTTCAAGTGGCTTTAAAAAACCACAAGATGGCGGTGTACCCCATACTTATTATCCACGACCACCATCCTTATACTGGATTACACACTTTCTAAGGCATGGCATACTGTGCCTGCAGACCAGTGAGGTACATGATTCAATTTTTAGCATTATTATTTTGAAATGAGCACAAATTAGCCAAATGCTTAACATTAAAACTTCAAAAGTTACCCACATTTTTAGAATAAATACTCTTTTTTTTCAGTCAAAGGTGATCCTGATCGAGTCAGTTATGAGGATGTCATCATCTCAATCTTTCTATTTTTGTATTATCTGAGCAAGAACCCTCTATATACCACATATCTGGGATGAGGACGCACTAATTAACATACACACGATTAGATATTAGAACCTCCACATACTGTATAACTGGATGGAGCAGGTTGGGATCGAGGAGGGGCTGAGTGTTGGCGTGTGAGTGTGTGGAAGGTTAAAGGACGCATGTGTGATGCCCATTTAAGGTCGCTACCTCAACCTGGAGAGCAGCTGAATAACTGGCATACCAAACAACATGATAACCATGAGCTGTCAGGAAGGGAACGAGAGAGAGAGCAAGAGGGAGCAGAGGGAGCAGAGGGAAGGCAGATAAGTCCGGAAGAAACAGACTCTGTAAAAATCTAAAGTGTGACAGGAAGGAATGTGAAATGTCTTGGCACTTCAGGAGATGTGACCTTCACTCTGTCCCTTGAGCCTGGGAATGACATGTTTTCTGCTCTAATGCTTGTACACAACAATAAGCAATGAATTCAACTGGTTTTATTTGCAATGTTGGGCTGTTACATTACATTTCATCATTTATTTTCTTAATTTTTCTGTGCATTTTCAATCTAATTGCGTCGAGTTCTCGCTTCAAAAATGTCTGACGAGTCTAACGAATGTATACGTAGTTAAAGTACGCTTAATGTGGGACCTCTGTTATCCATATCACAACCTGGTTGCACTTGCGCTGATCTAAAATAGTCTGTAGACAAAAACATGGGAAAATGTGTAGGACTACACGTTCACTTCAGACAAAACAAAGGAAGATGATAGGGGTGAAAGGAATTGAGAAGGAAGGAAAAGAGAGGAAAAAAGAAAGGTGGATAAATAGAAATAAGAGAAAGCAAAGTGCAGGACTGGAAAAAGAAATGGAGAAAGTGAAAAAAAGAGGGAGGGAGGGAAGGAAGAGGGATTGTGTAAAGAAAAGAGGCAAATGCAAGATAGAAGAGAGACAATATAGCAATATTACTGATGGGGCAGGAAGGGCAGAACGATGGAAGAAGAGATCTTGGTTTCCCTCTCCCCTCCAGTCAGATGCTGCTAAGTACTCAGCCAGCAGTTTATAGACCCAATAAAAAGTCTGCTGAGCTTCTTGTTTGTGTAAGTAACTAAACTGTTCTCACTATACCGCACTTGCTGTAGCAGCTGGACTCGTCTTGTCTGGCATGGACCCCTTTTTCGGCATGCCAAGCACCGTACCACCAGCTAACGCTCTGCTGTGGGGTGTTTGTAATATCTGTGATGCTTTGATTCGACATGTGACAGCTGTTCCTCTTTTTCTGTCTACCTCATACTTGCATGATTTTCCAGACTGCTCCTCTTGCATGTTTTTTTGCAGTTTAAACTGGTGATCCTTGGATGATTGTCCTCTGTCACTGTGTTATGCAATGTACAAACTTCTTAACTCTTACCCAATTTAACTTCATCACCACATCTGATGACCAGCATTCATATAATGTCATCAGCCAGCTCAAAACGCAGCCAGGAACATGTTACTGTTGACGGATTATCACATGTGTTACAGATTATCCAGTCACGAACACATATTTTGGAGACAGTGGCTGGCTCACACTTAGTCTGTAAAAAGACAGATCATCATTCGGCACATGATATCTTTCAATATGCGACGCCTAGAATGCAAATCTCTCCTCAGAAGATTCTATGCAGATTCGTCTGAATCCAGCAGTGAAAATCAGGCGTGTTTGACATCAACATGACAGCTCAAAACTCGATCTGGAGGATTTGAGTCCTAGAGTGCAGCCCCTCCACCAGATAATGTACTTCCGTGGTGACGTGCCCCAATTCTTGCAGACAAGACATGGTCAAAGCAGGATTGCGAGGGTTCTTTTTTTTTTTTTTTTTGGTAATAGTTGTTTCGAAAAAAATCTTCTTGAGTCTTCTTCACAAATCCTGCGCAGTATCATTCAGTCCATCATCATCCATATGGCCATCCATTTTCTGTTATCCCATTTAAAGTAGCAGGACACCCCCTTCTTTTCTTTAACAATGGAGGGGTTTTTAAAGTATCCTATCTGCCTCTTTAAATGAATCCCTCTCCACTCTCAAAGGGGAAAGGTTCTTAGGGTAGCAGCAGCAGGGATGAGGCATGTTGGCCACTCCTTTCATTATACTGTAACTCCCCCAAGGCTCTCTTTCTCTCTCTGTCTCCCTGCTTGTCTCCTTGCCGTCCTCTGCTCTCTATCCCGCTCCCTCATCTCGGCCATCTCACCCTCCTTCCCTCTCTCATCTCCATCACACTTGCTCCTACAGTTACAGCATCTTTTTTACCTCATTTTCCTCACCTCCAAAATCCCTCATCCATCCCTCTCTCCCTCCCTCTCTCTCTCATTAGCATCATCACCTGGACCTTTATACACCACTCTTTCTCTCTCTTGTTCTCTCTCACACACACACACACACACACACACACACACACACACACACACACACAACCCATCCCCTCCTGCCAGGCAGAGCAGGTCGATGCAGGAGCGGCAGTGGCAGCGGCAGCAGCTGCTCTGACACATTGTGGCGTGACAATCACACTGAAAAGGCAGGACGAAAGAAGAAGGAGGAGGAGGAGATAAGGAGGAGGAGAGGGAGGAGGAGGAGAAGAGCAAGAGAGAGACGAGGTGGACACAACTCTGTGAGAGAGGACAGCGGAGGACAGGAGAAGGCGAGGAGGAAGAGGGGAAGGGGAGCAGAGGGTGTTGCGGCCATGTCAGACACACCTTTGCAGAGGAACGGCACAGCCACAGCCCCGTAAGTAGTAGATGTTCTTTATCTTTTTTTTTCTAAAGCTATCTCTGCCTCCATCTCTCCTCTCCTCGCCTTGCCTCCCCCCCCCCCCCCCCCCCCCCCCCCCCCATCTGACAGACTGGGTTGTCATGGGAACGGGAGCTCCGTCATGGTGAGGCTGCTGCTCAGTCATGACTTGCGAGGAAACCCATCGTACATCGTGTACACTTCTCCGTCTCCTCTTCCCTCTCTGTATCTCTTTTCTTCACTCACCCTCTCACTCTCTCTGCAAACCTCTCACCTCACCACACACCAGCCCTTCGTGGCTTTACTCTCCTGCTTGATTTTTTTTATATTTCTTTCTACCACTGTCTCTGTGTCTTCTACTTGTCCTTTTTACCAAATCAGTCTTGCAGTCCTTCTTCCGTAACATCTCACTGTCCCTGTTCTTAACACCATGGTACATACATGATGTGGGAATGTGTGTACGTGTGTGTGTCTGTGTGCGCAAGTGTGTGTGCAAGTGTGGTGTATTTCATCATAGTCAATGGGGAAGCTGCAGGCTCGGGCCAGCCTCTGTGTTCCAGCTCAGTCCGCCATGCGGCAGAACGTTTCTTCCTGTGTGTGTGATTTGTGTACTGTATGCATGTGTGTGTGTGTGTGTGTGTGTGTGTACGTGTGTTCATGTATGTCTCTACTTTATGAGAAACAAATGTCGAGGCAAAGATAGAAAGATAATGAAATCAAACATCACTTGGTAACCTTTCATTTCTAGTCTTTTCATCAGGACAGCATGAAAACCAACCTAAAAAAACAGACTTGCATTTGCATTTGTGACTAATGGGGATAAAATCACAGCGAGACACGTATCAAGCAAACACTGGCAATGTGTGAAAGAATCGTGTAACTTTGGTGGATTTTTGGATTGAAAACAATTTGCTGTTCAAACCACGTTCAGATGACTGTCAAGTGTTTGATGATGTGTCCCACAAGTACTAGAGATGCACAAAATCAGCACATTTTCAAACCAATCCGACCTACAGCTGCATTTCCAGACCAAGAATATTCCGATTTTTACATATTTAAAATGCACAAAAGACAACAATTTAAGAAGAAAATAAGAGAAGGACCCCTGTATTTTACAACAAATATGTGACATTTGTGCTTCCCAAAATGATTACTGGCCAAATGTTATGCTTTTCTTTGAAAACAATGATTGCAAATGTGAGGGCCTTTCTAGTATTTTCAGAGACAAGACGTCCATGTTTTCCTGTTGCTTTGATAGATGTTGTTTGTAGCTTTAATGCTAGGCTAGCAAAAACCAGCGTGTGTGTTACTGCTGTAGCTAGTCCGTCATTAAACTGTCCGGTAGCAGTTTCATTTAGAGCTTCATGGTGGCTCATGTAAACAAGCGGAAACGCACGCTTTATCGACGTCTTTACCACAGAAATGGACTTGAAGTCATTTGTCACGTGACGCTAGACATGACCTGCAACAGGCGGGTGTCAAAGTCGGTAAAAGATGGAAAGACCCCGGATGACAGTGTGAGAAATGATAGCAGTCAGACAAAATCATAACATGGTCTAAGAATTTAGCTCCCCCAAGTGCAAGAGTTGGTCAAACATCATGATTGAGACTCCCAGTGAAGAAAGCCCACACACAGGTGAGATACATGCTTTTAAAAAGGGTTTTCGAACCTTGTGTCAAACTTTAACATAAGAGAAAGCTGCAAGTGGGCACTAATGTTAAATCTGGAAAATGCTATAAGTAACATGTCAACGTTATGTAGACAAAAGTTTTGGGAAGAATCCGTTGTTTATACCCGAGTCTCATGGACATGCAAAGTACTCATATTTTCTTGTCGCACCTGAACGTGCCTCAATCAGCTGCTCCATGAATTGGTGTGAAGAGGTGATAGTGATGCTGAACACAGATACAGAACAGGAGAGTGGGAGTTGTTCTTTACAATGCTAAGCTCTGTGGGTGTTCTGTGTTCTACTGAAGCTACAACAACATGGAATTCAGAAATTCTTGACTTAGAATTTTTTTTCTATGTGACCGTGTACGTCGAGGTGGTGGTCGATTTTCCTTTGAAATCCAGAAAGCCTAAATGTATATAAAGTGGAAAAAGAGTCATATCTGCAGCTATAGCTTTTCTGTTAAACATTTTTTTGGGGCTTGTGCAACTTGAACATCCTATTTTTGCCCATTTGGTGCATGAACATGTATATTACAAATTATACAGCTTGTGCAGTTTGCTATATCCTTGTGCAGCACATGCAGGTTATTGGGATCACCCAGCCTGTGCAAATTTGGCTCTAAAAACTCAAGTTACGATATCACAAATCAGAATATATGTTGTGAATAGTCCCTACAGATGTTGCAGATTAGGGGATGCTGAGCGCTAAGCTGATTTGAGTGATAACCAACTTGTTAAATAGCGGCTCACCTACAAGCTCAGAGTCTCAATCAGCTGTCTGAACATCAGTTTGAGTGACAGGTCGTAGTGATTTGTTTTGCGTCCTCTGTCAGAGCCGCACCCATGAAGCGGTGCAGGGAAGCATGAACCTGACATGCTTTCCTGGTGCAGCAATAGTTAATGTTTTAATTGGGGAAAATGAGACGGTGCTTTAGGGATTCAGTCAGTCCATCACATCCCATCTTCTCTTCTCTCGGCCACATGCAGCGCTCTCTCTCTCTCTCTCTCTCTCTCTCTCTCACACACTCTCTCTCTGTCCACTGAATCAGCAGAAAGATGAGGTAGTATTTGTGGTCGTGGAGAGGCTCAGACACCACAATGGCAGATGGCCCATTCGCTGCTGCTATTTATTGCACACTCAGGGAAGTCTTACAGGAAAGAGGCTCTTAATAGGGATGGGTTGAATTGAGCAGATCCACTTTTACCGTGAGGCAGCCCTGCAAGACTAACCACCATATTTTTCTGTTTATTGTCCATTTTTTGTCTCATTTTAAATTAAAGTACAGTTTGAAATTTTGAGTGTAGTTTATTAATGCATTAGTCAATTATCAACCAAAAATATTAAACATTTGTTGAACAAAAAATGAATTGAAAAATACCCGCTTGGCTGCTATGGCATTTTGATGAGCATGTTTCGTTATTTTGGGAAATGTAAATGGATAAATAATGAACCAATTAATCAAAACGTAAGTAACAAATTGATTGGTGATGAAATTGTTAGTCTCGGCACACTTGGTCCCCTGCGTATTTATGACCCTGTGAGCAAGTTCAAGTTTATTCATGACAGGTGGACAAAGAAATAAACCTGCACAACCGAGTGGAATTGTGTGCGTTTTACTCAAATGATCTGATGACACTTTTTTTTTTTGCTCTGCTTATCATCTAGAATGCCTCTCAGGATAAAAACGATTAAAAGCTACTTTATTGAAGAGTAATAATATAAAAATAAATAAATAAAACGTCTTCTAACTGCATGCAGACACATGTGCATACATTGATATCTATGGGCATGCATGTAAATTATTCTCTCTCAATATAAAGTACTGAGAATAAAACAGAGTGAGAGAAATAAAATGACCATTTTAGGACATGCTAATTTATATGCTACCTAAATTCCCATTCACTACAAAGAACTGGGTTTGTTAGTGGGCAATATGAGAGGCTCTCAGCATGAGTTTCTGTGGTCTTCACAGCATAATAAAAGAACCCTCTTTGCGTGGTATAGACTGAACTATTAATAGAGTTGTATCAGTTAGAAAGAAAGGGAGAGTTGATATCTGATTAGTTGCTGAAAGCCAATGACTTCCAAAAGTTCTGCCATCGCCAAACATTCTCGGCTAGACTCGCCTGGAGAATTATTTTTGTTACATTCAAGGCCAATTCTGCTGTGGAAAATTATAGATACTTAAAATGAACAAGGATGGCTTTTAGTTTTAGTTGAACTGTGTGTGTGACAGACAGACATCAGACAGACAGACAGACAGACAGACAGTGGGACACCCAAACACAGCTTCACCTCCCTCAGAGATGTATAAAATATGAATGAGATCAACGTCTGGCACTCACAGCCAGCCAGAAATATGTCTGTTTAGGTTTCTCTCTCTCTCTCTCTCTCTCTCTCTCTCTCTCTTTTTTGGGGTACAATTTAAATGTGGCAGTAAAAAGCTAAAAAAGGCTGGCTAAGAAAATGTCTGCATTAACAGAACACACATGCATACTCAAACGCACATGCAGAGTTTGTCTGACTTTCTTTGTCCATATTTGCTCATTTCCTCCTACTCACCCTTTTGCATGTTGTTATATTTCTGTGTGTGTGTGTGTGTGTGTGTGTGTGTGTGTGTGTGTGTGTTTTCCTGCTTCTGGTTCCACATCTGGAGGCTATTACTTCTGGGGTGGGAGGTGGGGCTGGGCTGGCTGTGCAGTGAGGTCATCGCGTCGTCGTGGCGATGCAGAGGAACAATGATGCTGTTGTCTACAGCGACGACCAACCAACACAACTCACGCCAGAATTAAGGGGTTTTAGGGGGAGGGGGAGGCGGGCAACATTTTAGGGGGGGGGCGAGGAGAGAGTTAAAAAGTAGGGCAACAAAAGTGAGGTAGAAAGGAAATCAAGTAGAAAAGTGTTATAATGAAGTAGAGCAGTGGTAAAGTCAGGGAGTAGGGTTCGTAATGCCAGCATCGTGATGTGATTGGTGTGAATCCAGATCAAACAGAGACGGGCCAGAAGTCTGACGCTAAAGTCAAGACAGCTGCAGAGCTGAGTCTGGTTTCATAACATAAACTATATGCTACTAACCCAAACAGGTCATGGTCCACAAGCTGTACGTCCCCACAGTAAAGATGGAGCCAGTCTCAGGGGGAAACAGACCAGTTTTTATTTGACTTATCCTGATGGTGAACCTCAGTAAGCCTATAGTGTGTTTAAAGAGACAAACTTAATTCTCACATGAGTGCAATATGTTTGCATCTTGACAAACACATTTCACTTTTAAAGATAAAATTCATCGGTACCTTTTTAAATACTACAACAAGACATAAATGGTGTTGAATGCAAGCGTCAAAATTCCAAGAAAGCAAATCAAACTTAAACCTTCATGAATGTATTTGTTTGGCCATTTTAGGGCAACAAGCTGTAAAGACAACACGATAAAGTTGATATGAGCAAATATTAATGAATGTAAGTTCAATATTCCCTCTCCTTTTAAGCTCTGTTTTGGTCTCAACTCCTCAGAGAAATATCTCGCACTAAATGCTTCACATGTTCACCAGCTAGTCACTAACTTTGTCTGTCTGCTGGTTGGTGTTTGGGCAGGTAGTGAGTGGTTCATCAGAGCTTGAGAACAGCAGCTTGGGCTATAAAACCAAAACAACGAGCTGAAAGATGCTTAAATGCTCCACAGAGCTGAGGGAAACTTCAGGGTCAGGTGATGATCATCTGAATTTAATAAAAATATTGATAATGCAGCTTCAGACAGCGCTCATTTACCTTGTCAGAAAGCCCAAAACAACAAAAAATTGCATTTTTAAGAAAACTAAAAAGTGTCAAAAATCTCATAATACAACACTTTCTTAGCTGAAGGGTTGAATGGTCAAGCATATTTAAACACAGCCCAGGTTAGTAGGCTTGAACTGAAACAAAAACTAGGTGTTAAATCAAACAAAATAAAAACTATATTAAATATGTTCTACAGTTAACTTTAGTTTGGTTTTAACGATACAGTTTGTTGCAAACTTAAACATACATAATATGTATAAAATTAAAAAAATACTTACTTAAAAACAATGGCACCACCCCTGAATCCATATCTGCAACCCTGCATACGGTATGTGTCTATGTGCATTAGTTTGGAAATAATAAAACAACAACTTATGGAAACTAGCTGAGGGCTAAAAATGACAACTTTGTGATTTATTTTCTTTCTAGTCTTTCAGCTTCCCAGAAGCTTCACATGACAAATGCTCTCCAGCTGCAGTTATTTATTGTACACTTTATTTTCTCTCTTGGAGTAATGCAGAAGCTGCTATGTCAGTGTGTGTGCGTGCGTGCGCGTGTGTGTGTGTGTGTGCACGTGTTACATGCTTCTGTATTCCCTAAAGAGTCAGCCAAGACTGCTGCTGCCGTTTCTCCTTATAAGGATGTCTGCTTGTGGAAGGAGGGATGAAGAAAGAGGAGAAACAGGAGGACGGGAGGGAATTGAGGAAGAGGAGGAACAGAAAGTGTGAGGACAAAGTCGGAGGGACGGAAGGGGCGACAGGTGGAAGACGAAGCGGAGCGGGTGCACAGAAATGAGAGGATGGGGAGTAAGGGAGTCAGGAAGGAGACGAGGAGGTATGAAAAGAGAAAGGAAAGATCTAAGCAAGAGTCATTTGGAGGGGTGAGAGTTGAAAGGGAAAGAAGACCGAAGAAGTAAGGAGGGATGTAGGGCAGAGTATGTAGGAACGGGAGAACTTAATGTATGGAGGGAAGGATGCGAGTGTTGGGTATGGTAAAGTAGAGACGAATGTCAAGAAACAGGGCAGCAATGCAGCAAAAAGAAAAAAGGGGAGGAAAGGTGCATGCGAGAGATGTAAGGAAGGATGGAGGCAAAGAACGAAGGAAAATCAATATGGTTGCAATAGAACAAAAATAATAGAAGATGCAGAAGAAGAATGCCTGAAACCCAGGTGAACCTAGAGAGTTAAAACAGGGAGAAAGAAAATTGGGACACAGTTAACAGTGACCCATTTACACACACACTCTGCTTTTGTCTTTGTGTGTGTGTGTGTGTGTGTGTGTGTGTGTGTGTGTGTGTGTGTGT